TGGAATCAAGCTTTGATCTTTGCTCTTTCGGTACATGCATGTATGCCTTGCATCCAAAAACTCTCAGATGTGAATAAGTGGGGTTACATCCCTTCCATGCTCTCTCTGGAATGTCAAGACCAAGAGGAATTGATGGAGCTCGATTGATCAAATACACAGCACATTGGACTGCTTCACCCCAGAATGTCTTTGGAAGATTAGACATTCTAAGTATACATCTCACCTTCTCCACAATGGTTCTATTCATTCTCTCCGCAACTCCATTGTGTTGTGGTGTGCCGGGCTCCGTCTTCTCATGTCTTATGCCATGTTGTGAACAATAACTCTTGAATTCATTCGAGGTATACTCACCTCCATTGTCAGTTTGAAGACGCTTCAACTTTCTTTCTGTCTCCCTTTCTACCATGGCATGAAATTTCTGGAAGATCTCGAACACTTGGTTTTTTGTCTTCAACATGTAGACACAAGTCCTTCGAGTAGTATCATCAATGAAAGTGACAAAATATTTGTTGCCACCAAGAGACTGCACTTCAATGGGACCACAAACATCAGAGTGTACTAACTCCAATTTCTCTTGCTTTCTGGTAGACTTCCTAGAAAAGGAAGCCCTATGTTGCTTTCCTGCCAAACAATGATCACAAGGGTCAAGAGAAACAGTTTTATCAACAGGAATAAGAGATTTACCTGCTAATAATTTTATCCCCTTGTCACTCATGTGTCCCAATCTTTGATGCCACAGGTTAGGAGAATTCTTTTCTTCAACTACATTCAGCTCACCAGAACAAACATTCAAATATGTTTTATACAAAGAGCAACACAATTCGCCTCGAGCAACTATCATCGAACCCTTGGAGAGTTTCCAATTACCATCACCAAAGGTATGTCGAAAGCCTTCTTGATCAAGAACATTTGCAGATAATAAGTTAAGGCGTAAATCAGGAATATGGCGCACATTCTTTAATGTAAGCATGCACCCAACACTTGTCTTCACAAGAATATCACCTAACCCAACAATGCTTGCTGAGCTCTGGTTTCCCATCTTGACACTACCGAAGTCTCCAGCTTTGTAGTTCATGAAGTACTCCCTTTTGGGAATACAATGATATGAAGCTCCTGTATCTACAAGCCACTCTGTGTCTGAACCATCAACATGATGACATTCACTAAGCTCCTGTATCTACAAGCCACTCTGTGTCTGAACCATCAACATGATGACATTCACTAGTTGCACAAATCAAAGTGACCTCATCATCACTTTTAGAGGCGGTTGCTGCAGTATTTTTGTCATCTCCCTCCTTTTGTGAGTCTTGATTCTTACCTTGTTCTTTCTTTCAACGGTAGCAATACTTCTTGATATGACCAGATTTGTTGCAATAATGACATGTCCTAGTCTCCTTCCCATCTCTGGACTTGGACCTTCCCTTTGAGTTAGCACGGCCTTTGGGACCTCTACTCTTGCCTCTTCCTCTGTTCTCAACAACAAGAGCTTGTGAATTGTCAACTCCCATATCCTTTCTTCTTATTTATTCATTAAACATGCTTTCTTTAATCACATCCAAAGATAGCACACCATCCGGAGCAGAGTTACTAATAGTCACAACTAAGGTTTCCCAACTATCTGGCAAAGAGCTCAACAAGAACAAAGCCTGCAATTCATCATCAAGAACAATCTTCATAGTAGTCAACTTGTTAATGATATCTTGGAAATCACTAAGATGTTCTGACACGGACTTCCCACCTTTCAATTTTAAATTAACAAGTCTCTTGATTAATGAAGCTTTGTTATGTGTGGTCTTTCTTTCATAAAGACCTTCCAATTTCTTCCACAAATCATATGGGTCGAACTCTTGAGAGACATGATTGAAAATGCTAATATCAACCCATTGTCTAATAGTCCCCAAAGTTTTTCTTTTCAACTTTGCCCATTCCTTTTCTTCCATTTTTTTCTGATTTTTCTGGTTTAGAAGTACTACCATCTTGCTTTGTGATTGCTTCTATTGGGTCATATAAATCTTTGCAATATAACAAGTCCTCCATCATCGGCCTCCAGATGGAATAGTTGGTTGAAGTCAATTTAACCATGGAACTATTACTACTAGACTCCATGTTTATAACCTTGCTCTGATACCACTTGTAGGGCCGCAAGAGGGGTAGTAAACAATTACACTAACACCCACAAGATCAATACAAGACAACCAATCTTCAAAACCCAAGTTACATCCGATAACTTTCACCAAGCATTACGAAATAGGCAGAGAAATAAAAGCATGCAAAGAACACACGATTTATACGTGGAAAACCTCTTCAATGTGAAGAGTAAAAACCACGGGACTGGAGGAGTCCACCACTTCTTCTCTTATTATGATAAGTTGAGGGTAAAAGAAACCCAAATCAGTCTCACAAAGTTTCACAACCAACCAACAGGAACATACATAAGAGATTCATCATTTGAGGAACAAAAGTGAGAAATATCACCAAAACACAGAGGTTCTGTCCAGCTACAATACTCGACGATCCGGAGCTCACATCGACGATCCAACCGTTCAGATTGAAGCCCTATTTGTCCCCAACAAGCTGACCAAGTTTCAGCAAAATCGGACCATGATTGCACCTTGATCGGATGACTTGATGAAGACTGGTCCTGAGAATCCGAACAGGGGCATCCTCTCTCAAACCCTCTGATTTTTTTTCTCTTTTTCTTCTGTGTGGAAGATGATCAGTCCCCAACAGCCCTCTTCTGACTTATTGGGATACATCTGGCCCTCTCTCAAAGCTTCTCCAAGAAGCTACAAACCTTACTCATAGAATGGGCCACAACAAATAAGTCAGTTTTGGGCTTGCAAATTAATATTTGCCACAAAGTGGGCTGGACCCACAACAACAAGGTGGTTTTAAGGGATTGACAAAATAAACATACAAAAAAATTTAAATGCCTTCTTAATCTTGAAAAAATGAAAAAATTAATTTAAGAATTAAAATAAAGTAATTTGAAAGTCTCATTATAATGCTAAAAGAATTATTATCAAAAATTTCTTCTCACATTCATTGACAGCCTCTATTCTCTTTCTTTATTATTTTCTCATTTTCGTCTCTAACAAAACAAAGAATTATAACAAAGTAGAATAGAGAGATTTCCAATTTAAAAGAATTAATTTAATACGCTATGATTTTCCAATATAGAAATTACCTTATAAAAGAAGCGATCTTTGGAAAGACTAAAGTTTAGAGAAATCCATATAAAACCTATCATATATGCAATCATCAAATAAAATTAGGGTTTGTAAAAAAATAAACAGATAGAAGATAAATTCTTATGATTTTATAAATAAAAACTAAAAATGAAGGCAATGAGAGATAAAACCTCTTCTCTGATTCCTTTTCTCACATATTTTGTCATCGAGTGTAAATCTGTTTGAGGAACAACTAAAAAAAGTCAGATGTTAAATTTATTTGAGGTAACAACGAGTAATTGAAGAGAGAGGAGGGAGGGAGTGAGGGCAGGGCCGGGCCTGGGCTATGGCAGGGGGGCGCAACCGCACAGGGCCCCCGCTGAAAGGGGGCCCCAACATTTCATAGGGTCCATTAGTTTATTAAATTTTGTATGACCCAAAATCTGGCCCAATAATATTTATAAGCTAAAACTTAGTCATTGAATTGAAATATTGAATTGCCTTATTAATTGCATTATTGTCGTTTAAGTTGCCGAGAAGCACGGGATTGATTTAATCAATCAAACTAACTAATCCCTTCTATAAGGCTATAATGCAAATCTGGAGAGTGGACTCCTCTTTTTTTGCAACAAATTTTATTCAGCCGTTTGACATGTAATTTTTTAACCGTTTGATATTTAATTTTTACTCCTAACATTAAATAATTATTAATCTCTCTCCACTATATAAAGGGATTATATTTCATAGGATAATCAAGAAAAGTTTGTCTATTAAACTTCTCCATCTAAAATTTGTTCTCAAAGATACATTGCAATTATTTCATTGGCTATTTGGGCATTGTCATACACTTAATCAGGTGCTATTATTCCTTTTCTTTTTACTAAGTTATTTGATTGTAATTGTTTCTGTTATTTGTCTTAAATCTCATAGAATTGTTTAGTTATTTATTTAAAGAAAATGGCGCCTCGAAAATATTTATGCAGAAATGAAAAAAGAAAAAAGAAAAAAACGAGTAGAAGAACTAATAGAGTCACAAAAAGGAGCCATTGATAGATTTTTATCAAAAAGTTCTAACATTCCTGTAGTTAGTGGATCAAATGAAAATTTAAGTGATGAACATATTGTTTCAAGTGAAGATGTTAATGAGCAGTTAGGTGATGATCATGATCAGGGCCAATCTTTACCAAATTTTCATGATGATAATACTATGCAGAGTGAATTTAATAATGAAAATTTAGGTGATGATAGTCAATCTTTACCACATTTTGATATATATGAACCTAGTACTTAGAAAAATCTTGATAACAAAGCTAGAGACATTTTAGTTGAGAAGGGATTTGACAGAGAATTGAATATTGACTTTCCTTTAGACGGAGACCGTAGGCATTTTTCATATGCACATTATTCTAGAAAATTGAGTAATGGAGAAATAAGTGATCGAAAATGGTTGATTTACTCTAAACTCGTTGATAAAGTCTTTTGTTTTTGTTGTAAATTATTCAAATCTAATAGCAATACGACTTTATTGGCAAATGAAGGATTGAAAGATTGGAGTCATATTGGCAAGAGACTATCTGACCATGAAAATAGTATTGAGCATATGACTAATATGAGCTCTTGGAATGAGCTAAGATTAAGGTTGGGAAAAAAAATGAAACAATTGATAATGAGTTGCAAAAACAAATTATGATGGAAAAAGAACGATGGCGACAAGTTTTGATTAGAATAATAGCCGTCATAAAATGTCTTGCTAAGAATAATTTGGCTTTTCGAGGATCTAATGAGAAGCTTTATCAAAATAATAATGGTAATTTTTTGGGACTTATTGAGATGATTGCAGAATTTGATGTAGTAATGCAAGAGCATGTTAGACGTGTTCAAAATCATGAAGTTCATTATCATTATCTTAGCAACAAAATACAAAATGAGTTGATTTCTCGTTTAGGCCTTGCTGTTAGGAGCTCTATCATTAAGAAAATTAAAGAAGCAAAATATTTTTCTGTAATTCTTGATTGTACTCCAGATATAAGTCATCAAGAACAAATGGTCCTAGTTGTACGTTGTGTGAATATGTCCAGTAATCAAATAAAGATAGAAGAGTACTTCTTGGAATTTGTGAAGGTAGATGATACATCTGGACTGGGGCTCTTTAATGAATTGTTAAGTGTATTACAATTACTTGATCTTGATGTTGATGATATTAGAGGCCAATGTTATGATAATGGTTCTAACATGAAAGGTAAAACATCAAGGTGTTCAGAAAAGATTACTTGAAATTAATCTGAGAGCATTATATATGTCATGTGCTTGCCATAGTCTCAATCTTACTCTTAGTGATATGGCACATTCATGTGTTAAAGCTATCTCATTTTTTGGAGTTGTGCAACGTATATATTCATTATTTTCGAGTTCTACTAAGAGGTGGAAGATTTTAATTGATAATGTTCCTTCATTTACTGTGAAATCTTTGTGTAATACCCGTTGGGAGAGTAGAGTGAAAAGTGTAAAAGCCATTAGATTTCAAGCTCCTCACATAAGATTGGCTTTGTTAGAATTATATAAAACTTCAGAAGATGCGAAAACAAAGAGTGAAGCTGAAAGTTTGGTCACTGCAATTGAGAACTTTGAATTTTTACTTGGTATGATTATTTGGTATGATGTTTTGTTTGCTATTAACATGGTTAGCAAAAAATTACAAAATAAAAATATGAATATTAACACTACTATGAATCAGGTGAGAGACGTGATGTTATATTTTGAAAATTTTAGAAATGATGGGTTTGAGAAGAGTTTGGATATTGCTAGAAGTGTTGCATTTAAAATTTTAGAAATGATGGGTTTGAGAAGAGTTTGGATATTGCTAGAAGTGTTGCATTTGATATGAATGCGGATCCTACATTTCCAGCAAAACGTCGTATCATTAGGAAAAAAACAACCTGGTGAAACTGATCATGATGAAGAAATACAATCCACAGAGGAGTCTTTTAGAGTTAATTATTTTTTAATTGTTGTGGATATGACAATCAATTCATTAAAAGAGAGATTTGAACAACTAAAGACATTTGAAAGTATTTTTGGGTTTTTATGTGATTCAGATACTTTGAAGTCATTGGATGATAGTAAATTAAGAAATTGTTGCAATCATCTTGAAAGTGTTTTATCTCATAATGATTCATCTGATATTGATCTTAATGATATGTTTTCTGAATTAAGAGTGCTACAAAAAACTTTACCAGAAGTGTCAATGACAGCAATCCAAATTTTGGAATTTGTTAAGCAAGCTGATTGTTATCCAAATGTTTCAATTGCCTATCGAATCTTATTAACTGTGCCTGTATCTGTAGCAACAGCGGAGAGAAGTTTTTCAAAATTGAAGTTGGTCAAAACCTACTTGCGTTCAACAATGGCACAAGAAAGATTGAACAATTTGGCTATTCTAAGCATCGAGAATGAGATGTTACAAGACATAGACGTTGATTGTATTATTAATGACTTTGCATCAAATAATGCTCAAAGAAATTGTTTTAAGTAATTTTGTAATCTTATATTCATTTCATTTCAATAAAATATCTTTGTTATAAATAGACAGTTTATCAGTTAAGGGCCCCATTTTTTTAATTTTGCCTAGGGCCCCAAAAATCTCAGGACCGGCCCTGAGTGAGGGAGGGATATGGACTGGGGGGAGACGATGATTATAACTGATATGCATGATAACCACTATTTGCCTAAATTTCATATAATCTTTTAAATGTATTTATTCATATTGTACCTAATATAAAATGCCTACCGCTTCGGTGCTCCATAGAGATTAGTTGGAGCAATGATGACATATCCGTAAATAAATTTCTTAAAAATAGCTCTCGCAATTCTAAGTAGATAGATTTGACGGTTATGAGGTGTTCCACACCCAAAATTGTAATTAACTATGGGTACAAATGTTATTTTAGAAAATATAATTTATGGGAGAAACAAAATTTATCATTAATTAGAATTCTTTAATTAACTATTAAAACCGAAGCTTTTCTCCGTACTTTCCATTAGAAGAAACCGGTTAGACTCCAAAAAATCTCGTGAAGAGAAAGAGAATGCCATGAAAGGTACCTCTTATTTTTCCTTTTTTAAAAAATTTAATTATATAGTATGATGTAGTTGTTAAGCCCTTAAATTTCTCGTTCTTCAAATCAGTAATCATTTGTTTTTCTATATAAAGATAGATTTTCTTTTGAAAATAGACTGCCTAGCGTGAGGAGGGTTCAATTGGTTTCTAATTAACCTCATTCGTGAGATTGAGAAGTAAATTTGATTGAATGGAAAAAATTTACAAACCGTGAAGGACATGTATTTTCTATCAGTATGCAAAAATAAGAGAAGCTACATGTAAGGAAATTCAACTGGTTCTTTTCTTTTTTTCCTTTTTTTTTCTTTTGTGCGGATGGAACTGAGACGTGAGATTGAGAAAGAGATTTTTGAAAGACTAAAATACCTTTTCTTATTTTAGCTAATTTGTTATTTTTGTCAATTTAAATTTTTTTAAAAAAAATCTATTTTTGGAGCACCGAAGCAAACCTCATATAAAATTTCCCTCTTGATTTTAAAATTCAAATTTTTTTCGTAAAATGGTTATCTATAATTTTAAAAAATGAGAATTTATAAACAATTTTATATATTAACAGTAACAATTCCAAAACTTGATTTATTAAATTATATATAGCTATTATTTAGGGCGATTTGATATCACAAAATTGTAGGGAGAATTCAAATTAAAAACTTATTATGAATTTCCTCCATATATGTAAATAAATATTAAATCATTCTTAATACCCTATAAATAAGTGATGACATGTATACTTCTTGGTTTGTTTAGCTTTTGGTTTGCAGTTAGATGAGGATGCTAGTTGTCTTTTTTTTGCGTGTTTAGAGGTCTTATGTGACATCTCTATTGTGTTTGAGGTGATTTGCTTTTGTTGTGTATGTGCGCGCGCGTGTCTGTTACACATACACACATACACACATACACAAACTTCGAACTCTAAACTTCTGAGTCTAAAAAGAAGAAAGGAAAAAAGAAAGCTATTGTTTAATTAGGAATGTATCAACTATTAGATTAACTAGTTTGTTAATTGGGTCACTTAATTCTTCTCATCCATGGGTCGGAGCGAGCATAAGGTCAGTTCGGTCAATTTTGAATTTTTTTTAACAAAATAAGATCGAGCTGCTCTATATTTGAAAGTGAATTGAACCGAACAAATTTAATTCGATCAATTATGTTCAGTCTATTTGGTTTGGACTTGGACCTAATTAAATTTAAAATGGTATTGTTTGATCTAAAAGAAATATGTATATCAAGAAACTTGTGAAAGAAAAATGTGAATTAGGGGATCGATATAAGAATGATGCAAATTGATTGAAATAATATGCAATTTAAGGAAAAAAGAGAATTAATTGTTGACTAATGAAAAGAAAGAATAACATTTTTTTAAACAATTGAGAGAGAGCAGTCGATTCGGTTTGGTAAGGGTTGAGATTTTCTGAAACTAACCATTCAGAATATATCTACAATTTGTTAGGACCGTTTCCATACAATTTCTCTTGTTTGAGTTGTAACAAATGTATATTTGAGTCTAATTTGTGTTTGAGATTATTTGTACATGTTTATGCATGTTAGAATCAATATTAAGAACAAACAGAAAATGTCTAAACTCAACAGTATATTTTTAGCTCTTTGGCCATCAATGAGCCAATTGCCCATCCTCGAGCAAATGCTCATCAATGAAATTGGAGCTGATTCATCTATTTCTAACCTTCTACTGATGGCAAAATATTACAAGAGAGCCTTCACTCATTGATGAACAACTTCATGATCATCGATTTCAATGCACTCTATTGATGCAGAAATTAGGCAGAAAGCATCTGCTCATTGATGAGCGGGTGACTTGTCGACTTGTCGATGAGGCAATGCCATTGATGAGGAAACACGATCATCGATGAGGCTAGCTCGAAAGCTCAGGTTTTGAGATTCAATCTCAGTCGTTCGATGTAGCCGAGATGCCTCCTCCCATATCTGGTTTAAAAAGGACATGGCCTAATTGAGAAAAAGAGAGAGAACAATTTCATAGTAGAAACGGCCGTAAGATCTTTTCAATCTTTTCAGTATCTTTCATTTCCAGAAATGTTCCCCAAATCTTTTTTTTTTCTTTCTGTAAATGTGTTTCCTTCCGTTGCAATTTTTATGCAATCCTTGACTATTGATTACATTCCCGTATCTTGTGTTTGAATATTTTACCAGCCTTTTTTTTTTTGTTTCCCTGAATATTCCTCTTATGGTGAGGGCAGTTTCGATCAGATCCTATCAAATGAGCATGTGAAATACTTGCAGATAATAAACCTACTGGCTACAGCATTCTATCAGAAAAAACATGGAAAAGTTAATGACCATTTCAAGCTAAAAAGCCCACAGCAGTCTTGGTGAAAATTGTTCACGGTTCATTGAAATTTAGCCTAAAAAATGTTATCTGACAACCTTATCCAGCAGAGCAACAGCTCAAATCATTATTATTTTTTTGTGAGATTTTTTTCTAAGCACATGCTTGGTCTTTTGTACATGCCAAACTCAATCAACTACTTCATCCTGAAGAACAGAATATAAGAAAATTTTGTCTATAACTTCGTATGTGTTTGTCGCAATTGTTGCATTGTGACAAACACCCCACCCACCACCCAAAAAAAAAAAGTTCAACTGTGCCCATGGACATCCACCAAGTTCTTAGAATGAATGAAGGAGATGGTGAAACCAGCTACGCGAATAACTCGTCACCTCAGGTATTTAAAATTTTCCTATCAGAAAATAACGTTATCTTTAATGTTTGATTTGTACAATTTGGATGAATTTAGAGATCACTGATGTTGAAGACGAAACCATACATTCGCAAATCGATTCAAGAGTTCTTCTCCTCTTGCAACATGAAGCCAAAGAGTCTCAGCGTCGCAAACTTGGGATGCGGTACGGGACCCAACTCCCTTGTGCCCGTGACGATTTTCCTGGACGTCGTGCACGACTGCTCGCAAAGATTTGGATGCCCCTGCCCAGAGCTCCAAGTATTCTTGAATGATCTCCCGAGTAACGACTTCAACACAATCTTCAAGAACATTCCTTCGTTCTATAAGAAGATCGTAGAAGGGAAAGGAGATGGGTTTTCTGGATTATGCTTAGTATCAGCAGTTCCTGGATCGTTCTACCGGAGGCTCTTCCAGAGTGAGAGCTTGCACTTTGTTTACTGTGCTAATAGCCTACATTGGATCTCCCAGGTACTTTTTTCAATGTGTTTTTCAGTAGTAAGTCATAACAAAAGGACATATATTTGAAAGAAGTTATTCCCCTATAAGGAAAAAGGAAATCAAATACGCCGCAACTAATACTAGTCGACATTTGATTGTGGTTGTTCAAGTACTCTTCTCTGCGAACAAGAAAAAGAAAAAGTTAATTGTGTCCATAGACCGCCTGTGCTATTGCCAAATTGAACTAATCATGCTTGTACCTTTTTTGTTGCGGATAGACTCCCAAGTGAAAACTAATTGATCCTTTTCAGGCTATCTATCAGCAACAACAAGTTTTCACTCAGGGGATCTATCTGCAACAATAGAACTTCAGGGGCAGTAAGTTACCATTTGGCGATACTACAGGCGGTGGGTCTATACACGATTAACCCAAAAAGGAAAACGAACATGAGAAATTTCTTCAATATGTTTGACATAGTAAATTTTTTTTCATGTTCCTCTTTACCCTGGGCGGGTCTATACACGATTAACCCAAAAAGGAAAACAAACATGAGAAATTTCTTCAATATGTTTGACATAGTAAAAAATTCTTCATGTCCCTCTTTACCCAGAGAGAGAGAGAGAGAGAGAGAGAGAGAGAGAGAGAGAGAGAGAGAGAGAGAGAGAGAGAGAGAGAGAGTTCTCAAATACTAGAACTAATGTGCAGGTTCAATGATATATAAAATCAAAGTTATGACAGATTTGCGCCTGTAGAATATGATAGAAAATTGTGAAAGCTTACAAACTATCCTTATTCCTTACCAAACTATCAACACACGCGCTGCTCTTTCCTAATTAAATCCTATCACTAACCATTTAATATTCATCTGGTTACATACAGCAAGAATTTTTATTATTAAACAGTCATTTTCAGTTTCTTTCTCCGACGGTTATGTCTTTAAGTTCTGTGTTCTCAGCACCAAAACCTCTTTAAAAGATCTGAGAAGTTTTCTATTTACCGCTAAAATATATTATTGACAAAACTGCTGATTTGAACAGGTCCCTCCATTGCTTAGTGAAATGACAGATATTAACAAGGGCAATATATGTTACGGGAAAAACAGTCCGTATATTGTATTTGAGGCGTATCTGTTGCAATTTCAACGAGATTTGACGCATTTTCTCAAATCAAGATCTGAGGAGATAATTGCTGGAGGGTGCATGGTTCTTGAGCTACCGGGGAGGAAAACCTTAGATCCTTACACAAATGAATGCTATTACCATTTTGACGATTTAGCTCTTGCTATGAGGGACTTAGTTGAAGAGGTAAACGACTAAATTCATAATCTCAATGTGTACGTTTTTTCCTGCTTCATGCATGAGATATATGTCATTAATACTGATCATTTTTAAACTTGGGGGATATAATGAAATTTCTTTCTTATCTTTGAACGAAAAAACTTATATGAAGGCATGCAAATTTTGTGTAGGGTATCATGGAAGAAGAGAAGATGAGTTCCTTCTGGTTGCCATACTACGCACCTCACATAGACGAATTCAAGGAAGTTATCAGAGCCGAAGGGTCCTTTAGAATCATCCGGTGTGAAGAAATATTGTGGTCTACCGCAGCTAATTTCTACGATAAAACGTTGAGAAAGATGATAGATCCGAACTTTGGCGCAAGGGTCGTGA